CCCCCCAATAATATCAAGTCCCATTCTGCTGTGGTCTGTAGGGACACACCAAGTGTACTGGCTGTCTCACTTCTGAGGAAACACTAGAGCAAATGCAGATCTCAGGCCTCCAACATGCCTGCAGGACACCCAGCCTCAACACTGGAAAGTTTGCACCTTCCTCAGACAGCTAAATAGCTAAAATGTTAAACAGCACAGAGTTGGAAGCAAGCCAAGCTCAGTTTTATCTCTGGAGCAGTGGGCATATGTAAGTGGCCTTTAGCTTGGCATAAGGCTATGCTGAAGTGGGGACAGTCTACTTGGGTCACTTTCCACTGACATGAGCTGAACCTACACCCACTGACAAAGGTTGCCCTGACCAGACAGCTGTAGGTTACTTGCATGTCAGTCTACGGGCTGGACAGCAGGGGACTCACCTAGCAGAGTGATGCTGGGTGACAGAGTAGCTTCTGTGCAGCTAGAACAAGTAGGGCTGTGCCTCCCAGCATGGATTACCTTGGTTAGTCATCTTAGCCACAATATCTCCAAGACAGCACCAAACCCCAGACTACATGGGGTAGGGACACGGCCAGAGAGATTTATGGAGTAGCAGCTTTCTCCAGCATCACATCTTATGTCCCTAGGAGTGGAAGGGGCCTCAGGCCATGAAGTCAGGTCCCCTGCTTTTGCAAGCAGTTACTTGTCATTTTGTTCCTACCCTGCACAAGTTAAAGCTGGTCCTTTGCTTCCTGACTGAGCACTCCCAGGTTCCCTGGAGAGGTTGTGCAATCTTGGCCATTTGGGAGTTAGGTCAGGCAGATGTTTGTCTAAGCCACCCCACACAGGGCTGGGGATTCTGCCTTGAGCAAGGGGTTGCACCAGATATTTTCTCTAGGATTCTGACACCTTAATGCCAGTATAAGAGGGAACTAGTCGAGTTGAAGTTTAGCATCCTGAAAAACTTTTCTATGCCTTTGAGGCAGACACTAAAACAGCAAGGCTCTGGCACACTCATGTGAATAGCTTATTCTGTCCAGAAATGGATTGCTGTAGTTCTGTATGACCCATTTGACATTGGGTTAGTGAGAGGCCCAACACCTACTTAATTTCCTTGGGCTTGGCATTGAGAGTGCAACTGAAAGTCAATGAGATTTGGCCCTCTGCTCAATTATCCCTGTACGAAGGAACAGCCACCATCACTCCCCTCAAGCCCTTGCCCCACCACTCACTCATACCCCAAGTTAGTCTATTAGTACTTGAAACAGAAGCTAAACTTATGAGCCAGCCCAAGTAATCTGATCAGGCTGCAAGGGCCAAAGGCCCAGGTGACAGGAGGTATTTACCCTTCAACAGGCAGGGACAGCAAGCTGGCATTTGCTGTGCTCATCCTCTCTGGTGTATTAGTGCACTGATCCATCTTGGTGTGGACCAAGGTTCACTACTGAGACACAGAGAAGCTCCCAGCCACATAGAACCACGTTAACTTTAAGTCCAAAGCTGGTTTTGGAGCAGCCCCAGATACCTCTTCCTGCTTTGAGTCAAAGACCTTCTTAGTAAGAGGTAGTGGCAGAAGTCAGTCATCTTAACACAAGCTGGTTTAGGGAGTTTTGGTTTCCTACGGGAAGATCCACTCTCATGCCTTCCTAGCTTGATGCATGCAGCCACTGCGTTAGAACTATGTTCCTGGTCTATCATCCTCAAACCAATATTGCTTTATAGTTTAAATAGCTCTTCTCCCTCCATACGATTTGTGGAGAGCAGTTTTCCTTGAGCCTTCCCCTCCCATCCTACTCGACAGCTCAGGGATGTCATCATCAACCCATTGCTTGGCCTGTCCACAGCACATTCATTTAACTTGCTGCAAGTGGTTATCCAACATACATGAACACACTAGGGATACACGACTGGCCAGGTACTTACGTTCAAGGCATTCTTTGCTGCTTCTGCACCAGCCCGGCTATCAAAGGTAACAAAACCAACTGGCTGGGAGGAAAGAACAAAAAGGTGCAATTTGAGAGCTGCCTCAGATTTACTCAGCTTGCTGTTCCCTGACTGGGGCCAGGACTTGGCCTGCTGACATGTCCTCTGAGCACCCACCTCCTGACACCTGTGAGGTAGGGGGAGAGGGGGAGGGTGTTCATAGGCCACCACTTGGAGATGCCTGGGGACAGAAAAAGCTGCTTTTATAGGGGCTCCTTACCCTCCTGGCTCCAGAGGAAGAAAAAAAAGGGTTTCCATTATTCAGCATGCCAGCTCCCATTTCCATTTTCCACTGGAAATAACAGCTCTAGCAGAAAGAGTAGGAACACCCCAACCCACAAGAGCAGCAGTTCCACATTTCAGAGGTAGAGGAAGTACAAGCTCAGCAGATGCTGTTCAAGGTCCCATCCCAACACTACCAGGATTGTTACCTTTGCCACAGCCCAATCAAGCAGCCACTATGGGTAATGCATCTCCAACATTAGACTGGAAGCTGGTTTGAGGATAGAAAAGCATGGTCTTCGATGGGCAGAATAAAAGCTTAATAGCTCAGCAACTTGGCATTCCACTCCAGAGGGGACACCACCACATTCATGTTTGGTGCACACTGGGCAACTACCCCCCACCCCAACATGGGAGCCAGAGTCTGGAAGGGAAGATGAGAAGTGAGCAGAAGACAGGAGCACGCAAACAGCTAGTTTGTGGTATAAAGCCCAGTGGCGTTAAAGTTGCAGCAGAATAGCCACTAGCCCTGCAGTGCCTAGCAGAGGCAGTTTGTTCCTCCATCCCTCTCCTCTCCATCCAAGTCTAGTCCTGTCCTAGAAGAAGCTGGGGAAACACAGTCGGAGTGGGGTAGAGAGGAGATACCTGTTTTGATGTTAGCTTGATCAGTGACCCTTCATAACCCTGGAAGGAGACACAAAAGAGAGAGAGAGACTGAAATTAGTTGCTGGGCTTCTTGAGAAGAGAGGCCACAGGAGGTCCTGGCAAACCTCCAGAACTTTATCCACAGCAAACCCTGCAGGCCTGGGAGAGATTTTGCTGTGTGCAGTTTGAACATGAGCCACCCATCCCCTCCTACACCTCCCAGGAAGACACCATTTGACACTGCTCCATTCCCTACCAGCTCTTCTCCCCAGGTGTGTGGCACATCTGGAATGATGAAGTAGCAGGGGAGGAGGTAACTCCCCCTCCTCCTGACCCCATTTGGTTCTCCAGTAGCTGCTCTCACAGCAGCTCACATTCCTCATCAGAAAAAAAAAAGTATGAACCCCATTTTTGTCCTGTTCAGGAAGATACTTTCCATCTCACTAGCATGCTAGGGCATCAGAGGCATGGAGAACTAGCTTAGAAACAAAAGCTAGTGCTCAGGGAAAGATGCTCTGCCTCAGTAGCAAGTGGGTAGTGTCATTAACGCACCCAATTTCCCCAGCCTCCATGCAGCAGTACAATGAAGGCTCAGGCTGTGAACTTAGAGGAAAGGGCATCCTGCTTCAGATATGGGGCCACATCATCCTAGCCAGCCATTTCTGGTCCCTCAACATTCAGAGCAGCATTTGCCTGGCCAGGACTTTCAGGCCAAGTAGCACCACCTGGACTGTACAGGCTGCCACCCAAGGCACCAACAGGTCCATTTGGACCATGACTCCCAGGCTCCAAAAAGTGCCAATTCTTGGTGCCAGTGACCATAGGCCTTTTTTTTGCCTAGAGCAGATGACCTGAGCTATGAGATACTGCACTGAGGTGCTCCAGATACCTGCACATCCATGGTGCTGTCCAATTCCTCCCTCCAGCTCCCTCTTTACAAGCAATTTGCTGTACACCTTGACTCAGGCAGGTAAGGGCCAACAACTAACCTACATGGTTACTATCACTTCTGCTCCTTCTCCATCCCAAGCACCTACCTTGTGGCTGAGGATCCTGTGCTCTAGGTTCATTGCGTCAGGCAAAGACTGGCCTTTTCACTAGCTGCCCTTATTGGAGGGGAAAGGTGCTGTGGTTATTTGGCAGTTCACATCAAGCCAAGGTATTTCCAAGCTTGGCATCTACCCAGCAACAACCCAGTTTTCATGGTGGGGGTAGGATCTAGCTAGTGTTGGCCTAGAGGGCTCCTATTCCTTTAAATGTTGTTAGGGACCCCAGTGCTTTTCCACTTCCCTTTCATGAAAGCAGCATTGAGCATTTATAGACATGCTCTGGGTGGCTGTGGATGCTTTAAAATTAGTGCGGCTCTGAGAGCCACACTAAAATTAAAAAAAAAAAAAAAAAAAAAAAA